ATGCTGGTGTTGGTGAAAGGGTTACATGATGCATAATGAAAGCTAGAGTAGCATTTTTCAACCCGTGGTGCAGCCATAGCATCCATATTTACCTTGGAGGATGCACATCTCCGTGGTTCGTCGTGTCTTGCTTAACGATTGCGAGGCCTGGTCTCTCCGCGCTAAGGATGTTAATCGAGTATCTGTATTTGACCCCCCATATCTTCAAAAAAGTGCTTAAGTCTGATTTGAACATCAGGTTAACAATGATGAGGTTCTTCGGCGCATATTGGATGATAGTTGTTACCTGAAAGAAGAAATAGATCTACACCGCTTCCGGATAACTCCACTATGTTTCGTTTAGGGCCAGCCAGTCGTCTATCTCTTTACTGCTTGGTGGGTAACGCTGAAAGAAACGTAGCAGCAGCCAGCCTGTGGCGTAGGGCTATGGAAAAGCTAGCTTTAGCTTTGTTTTCAATTGGTGCATCACGCTTTCCAGGTTGGAACCAAATGGATGGAGATAGTCGCGAGTTAGATACGTTAAGATATGGCTGAGGTTCAGTTTATATAAACATTAGAAAAAGATGGCAAAATTGAAAGTAGAGTCGAAGAGGAAATGAAAAATCTCAGCATACAAAGGTTGAAAAGAAATTTAGAAAATGCAGGGAAATCACTGGTTATGAGATTCAGCTATATCAAGCGATCTCTAGTCATTGATTACAATGATCCCGAGGTCTCCAGCCAGGGGGCCTAACGTGACCGATACGACAGTCTCCTGGTTAGGGTTTTCATACCCTCATGCCAGGTAGTATTTTGACCACCCCTTATTTTTCCCACCCAGTACCTACCTCGGCAAACATCGCGCGCCGTGGCGATTTATTGGGTGACATGTGTGACACATGCACCAACCAATGTAATCTATGGTCGAACACTTGCTCTAGTGGACGACCGCGGTTAACCAAAACTGCGCCTAGCCTCAGCACTTCTTGTCCGGTTGCAGCACCAGATCCGAGTGATGCGACGTAGATAGCGGTGTTCGAACACTGACAGTCTATCTTTATCCAGTTTTCTTAATGGCCCAGTTTCTGCGCTGTATAGCAGAACTGGCTGAACTACAGCATCATACACTCAATTCTTCACGGACAGCCGGATATCGCGCCGGTGCCACAGATATCTCGAGTCAGCAAATACCAATCGGGCCTTCTGTATGCGAGCTGATAATTCATCCTTAATGCGTTTACCGGGTGAGCTATAGCTGTACAAATAACAAAATTTATTCAATTGCTCTCTTACTTAGTAAGGCTACATGTTAGACCAACCTAGTTTTGCACCAACCTTTTACACCTCGAATGTGCAAAACGCACACCGAACATGGCCACGCTAACACTCAAACTACT